GTTATGGCTTCGGAAAGTGTAAAACTCGCACTCATCACGAATTTTCCTCGTTAATTTTGCAAAAATCCTCAACGTGGCCATTTTTTAAATACTGGACGTATGAAGCTGCTTTAGCAACCGTTTGATAGAGAAAATCTTCTAGTTTTGTATGACGTATTAACTTTTCAGATTTGACGAAAATGAAGCAAGTTATGGCTTCGGAAAGTGTAAAAACTCGTGCTCATCATGAATTTTCCTCGTTAATTGATCTAAATTTGTTATTTCTTATAATTTTTGTAATTTCAATACTGATTAGAAAGAGCTCTTCACAAAACTCCCAAATCTGCTTTCAGATTGAAAATTCGTCATATTTGAAGAAAGTTATAATCATTTGAATATTTGTTCAAATTTCAATAGTAATAAGCTGCTCCACGGTCAACGCCAAAGTCAGTCAACACACAGCTGGCTAAGGCGGTTACAAGGCTTCTTTCAACTGAAAGGGGGACGTGTAAATTGAGAACCATAATCTGTGTAGTACTAGAATTTGGTAAGTCTTGTGAAGGAAATAAATAAAGAAGAGATGTTGTCATAGTATGCCATTTTTAGTGACTAGTTTGTCGTTTTTGCTCCTTTTCTCGTTTGCTCGTTTGGTAGGACTCATCAATAATGATCATTCTTTGACTTTTTCACTTTTGTACTTCTTAAAGAATTTTTTGGTGGACGGTGGGGTAGCAGGGCTTTTTGAACAGTTTTGGGGGAGAATTAAACAACCTTTTCATAGTTCGGCTTTTGAAGAGGGTCGTTTCATGGACTTCGGCCTCTGGGGGAGGGAGGGGGGGTCGTATTTCCAAATTTTCCTCGACGGTTCGCTTGACCCTGTTAGGGACTCGAGTGAAGAACATGGCATTGTTTGTAATTCACGTTTGGAGATACTAGAAGCCATTTGTTGGAAGAGTGAAAGATCACGTGAACTGATGTCCGCTCCCAAAGTGACGGCCTTGTACCCTCTTTCTGAAATTCAAAGCAGTCTCCAAAGACCAGCTCGATTGAAGCAGAGGCGGAGTAAGAGGTAAGGGCGCTAGAATGCGTTGTAATGGCGTCTAAGTGAGCGCTACGGTTTTAGATCACTGCGAAAGAGGCGCAACCTGAATTAATCAATAATTATTGCACAGTTTGTAGGAGTAAATGGTGGTTTGTTCCTTTTTAATGAGGAGTACTGTTGCACTCAGATCACGGCTGCTCCGCAGCAAATCGTTTGCTCGTTGGGAAATGCGCGCAGCGGTCATCTTTTCGGAGTGTTTTTTGTTTGTTTATCATTGCGAGTGATTATTTTTGAACACTGTTGTTTCTGTTTGGTGTGATTTGTTGTGTGCTCGGTGATCTCTCGGTAAGGGGGGTTGGATTGCGGCAGAACTTGGGAAGATTCTAGCCCTTTCCAACTCACTTGTCGGCTTGCACACGAGTTGCTCTTATTTCTCTAAATGAACTGTCACATTTGGATTCGTTTATACTCGTTTGAAGTGAGAGTATGTATGTGTTTGTGTGTTGTTGTGCGTATAACAATGTTTTTGTGTTTTTGTCTCGTTGTATGATTGCTTTCAGGTGGTAGGTGGCTGTGAGCGTGCATATAGTATGTAGACGTCCGATCCGATCCGATGCCGCGCAAAGTGGACGACGAGCTGCAAAAGTGTCGAGCCATTCAAAATTGGACCTCCCTAGGAAGCATGCTTATCAACAGAATTGGACGAAACTTTGAATATAAGCTCAACTCTTGATAAAAAGCTTAAGTTCGGAGTTTCAGTTCGATTGGTTTAAATGGAAGGGAGATATGGATGTCCGAAGCCGCGCAATTTGGGTGGCGAGCTGCAAAAGTGACGATTTTTTGAAAATTTCACCCCTGGAAAAACACTGCACTGAAGGGAATCGGACAAAACTTTGAATATGATCTCGAGCCTTCATGAGAAAGCTTAACTTTAGAGTTTCAGTTGAATTGGTCTAGATGGAAGAGGAGATATGGATGTACCGAAGCCGCGCAAAGTGGACGGCGAGCTGCAAAAGTGACGATTTTTTGAAAATTTCACCCTCCTGGAAAACACTGCACTGAACAGAATAGGAAGAAACTTTGGATATAAGCTCAGCCTAGTGTGGGCAACTTAAATTCGGAGTTTCAAGGTGATTCGATTAGTGGAAGGGAGATATGGACGTCCGAAGCCGCGCAATTTGGGTGGCGAGCTGCAAAAGTGACGATTTTTTGAAAATTTCACCTCCTGGAAAACACCGCACTGAACAGAATTGGACGAAACTCTGAATATGAGCTCAGCCCTTAATGGAAAGCTTAAGTTCAGAGTTTCAGTTGGATAGAGATGGAAGGGATTGATGGGTGCGCACACCTTCGTCGTCACAACTGAATTCACAAATATTCAACGAAAACATCACAACTCACAAAATACCTTTCTGTAAGTTGCTTTGTAGAGTGGCGCAAGATTGTTCTTTTTTCATTATAAGTGTTTCTTTCACTATGCATTGGCTCTTATACGCTGATGAAGTTGCGTGCATTCATTAGTATAGACTACATGATGACTCAAGCCTGAGCCTAAGGTATACGCTTGTGCTCGGAGAGAGCAACTGCTACCCCGAGGCTACTTTTAAGCCTAAGTCTAAGCCTATGCTTTAGCCTGTGCTCCTGGAATGAGTGACTTCTACCACAAGCCTAAGCCTGAAGCTACACTGAGGCTTTGGCGTCTCCTGTTAGGTCTGCTAGTGAGCAACTCCTAGCCTGAGCCTGAAGCCTAAGACTGGTTCACAGGCTTTAGGCTTCAGCTTCGAGTAGAACCCGCTCATAGCAGGCCTAAAACTGAGGTTTCTCTGCTTCATTTTCTTAATTTTTTTCGTTCAGTTAGAGGGATGCGTTAATGTTACGGCAAGCGCGTACATTTACGGACATTTTATGCGCTACGTAACGGACATATTCACATCCATTTCTTACTCATTTTTTGATCCTGCCTGTATGAATTTTGATTTGGTTGATGATTTTCTAATCCGCCGCCGCTCAGAATCAGGCGATAGCTCACATCACATCTCATTATTTCATTCTGTTCGTCTTCTTCTTATCCATGAATGTTTTTTTTTCTCGTTATGAAACTGGCTCAACGCATCGTGGACATTCATTTCAGATTAACGGTTTGACACTATGCGTTCTTCCAATTATGAAAATATCGTCGAACAGTTTTCAAAAAT